ACGCAAATTTTAGGCCGGAATTTTGTGATGATTGTATACGAATGCAGGGATCTTTTGGTTAGACGAAGATAGCACACAACATTAGCATAATCAAATACAGAAATGATCAGAAGCGAAGCTAGAAGGAGCTTTCAACGACCAGGTAGAAAAGGAGGAAACGGATTCAGGCGGTAAAAACCGGAGTAAGCAACTCTAAGCTTAGCTTTAATGCGAGATTTAATATTCCAGAAAAAATCTAAAATAAAAAATTAACGGACTCGAACAAAAATTATATAATAATAAAAATGTGTTATTAAAAGATATTTCTTATTACTTGGTTTTTAGGTGAAACTATCTCGTTACAAGAAATTCAGTAAAATATACTCCTTTATTACTTTTTATAGAAGCTGAATGAAAAACAGTGTTATAAATGGTTGGAAAGTCGAAAATGGTATAACCGTGAATTTTTTCTCTGAAGCCCTTCGGTTAATATAGTCTTTTGTCTAAAAGAAATTGTCCTTGAAACGTGGTTAATTACGTAAATTTTGACAAAATTATTATAAGCAACAAATCGATAAAGAAGATTTCATATTGTAGGGATCCAGGTTAATTCTGCGTGCCAAGAATAAGATGAAGATTAAGAATAACGGGATTGCGTTTGATCCTTTGAATCCTAATTAAATACTGAAAATACCAAAAATAACTAAATCTCTGTTTAACGTTTACTTTATTAAATAAGACAGGGGAAAATTAATTGTCTTTAAGATCGACTTCTTATTTAAATCGTATTTTACGACTTGTTACTTAAATTGTATTAATAATTTTTTTAACATTAAAATAAAACGAAAATATTTAGTAAAAATAAGTGGAAAAAATTGATAGGAAAAGAAGTTTCTTTATAGTGAATCCCCATTACAGTGTACGAATACGAGTTGAAGTGACTGTATATTTTCTGAGCCCGAGAGGAAAATCTAAGCGATTTAGATGCAAAATCTAAAGAAACACTCGAGATACGGTAAGACGGTCAAAAGTCTCTAGATTACAATACCTCTCTCAAAACTGAGAAAAGTAAGAAAGCCTCGAAAGCTCAGTTTCGTCGATCTTCGCTTTTATCTTATATTTTGGTACGTAGAATCACCCTTTAAAAAATTGCTCGTCAGTAATTAAACACCCTGTATTCTCTCGTTCGATCGTTCGCCGGTTCCCCGACCACGGCCTATCTTTCCGTTTTAATTCGCGTCTTCCGGCACGTTCTCGAGCGATTCTTCCCTGTTATTCTTACTTCAGCGATCGTCTTTTGTTCGGGAACAAGACGGACCAGGCAGATTTTAGAACGGGAGAATAGAAACGCCGTGGACGGAGATACCGTGGAATTTATTATCGGGGTGCGCGGGACACTAGCGACATTAAATTAACTTACGCGTACCTTGAAATTTTTTTTTATCGTCCACAGGCACAGATTTCTGCCATCGAAGCTGCTGCGCGAGACTCGATATTATTTTTTCTCTCCGTTTTTCGGTTCTTTTCGGCGATTCCGAGGCTACACGATTACACTTCATAAGTCACTGAACACAGAAAGGCGATGCAAATTGTGAAACGAAACTAATATTTATTCATTAGCTTAGAAAGTATAACTCATATTGTATAGTACGGATTTTACCAAAATAATTTTCAATTTATAAACGTATCAGACTCGTTTAAAAACGATCAAATTAATGGTAGAATACTAGCAACAATTGTTTTGTGATACTTTTTTTTATTAATACTACTTACATTTAAATTTTAAATTTACTTTCTTACGAGAGTTATAAAATTTATAGGTAAGCAGTAACTTAATGAAACATAAGAAAGAGAAATTGTATCTGTACTGTAATTTGCATCTTTCAAAATGAATGTCCAGCGAATTATGGACGATGCGTCTCGTTTATGTATTTCTTTTCCTCTCGATTGGACGCTCGCCTGTTATCGAGTGGAAAATAATCGCGGAATAACGAGCTGCAAATTCCCGTCGTCGAACCGACGAGCGCGTCGTCTTCGCCGCCGATGACTGCCGGGGCCGTTTCCGGTCGCGACCTCAAACTCGAATTATCGCGTTAACGCGTAATTGTTTCGCGTTTTCTCGATTCCGACGACGCGAGCCGTTAATGGACGGGTTATTATTAAACCGTGACAACGTCTAATCGCTCGCCCCCGTACGGCTCGATCGTTGCGATAGCTCGGGTAATTTAATTACCTTCGTCCCTGCTAGCGATAGTCGGGTTTCCTGACTCTTTTACTCGTGCACTCGTTCGGTCGCCAAGTCATAATCGATACTCCGTAAACGAGAGCGCTGAATGGCGCTCGGACTTATTAAAAAATTAGCGCGCTCGATAATTGGAGGCGATAGTAATTTCTGTTCCGTCCATTATACGGCAAAGTCTTTGTTCGCGAACGAGTTACGCGTATCCGATATTCCGGAATACGGAGATCGTTGTACTTGGACGAAAGGCGGCCTCCGTTCGGATGGGGCCGAATTGCTCGAGGTATCCCAAAAGAGCTGTTTACTTTCGCGATAACGTCAGAGATATCGTTTAATTGATCGAACAACGTCGATCTTCTCGTTCTTTGACCAGAAGCGCCGGGGTCACGGGGGCGTTAAATAATAGACGAAGGAAGTTGTTCGCAAGTGCACACGCTTGGCCACTTACCCGTTCGGAAAGAGTGTCACGTTGCCGTAGAGAAGGGTGGTTTCTTCGTCGTGTGGGAAGCTCTGGCCGTACTCCCAGGGGCCTCCCGAGGTTCCCCGGTGGTTGGACGGACGAAGGGTCCCGGAGCCTCGAAGCAGGAAAGAGAAAAGTTTTTTTTGGATCGTACGAGAAGCCCAGGGGCGCGCAAGCGTCGAAGATCATCGCGTCGCGATGTACTTTTCCCGCTGGGGCGCGAATCCGTTCGCACGTTGTTCGTTCTCGCGGTCGTCTCGAACTGCGTTCCGGCACCCTCGTGGTCGCCACGAGCACCGTCGTCCCTGGGAGTACCACGCGGACAAACATCGAGCTAGAAACTGCGATACGTCGGCCAGAGCACGGCGGCGGCTCACCCCGGACATCGTCTCTCGCGCGGGGGACGCATGCGTCGCGTTTAAACCAGCGCCGAAACCACCCTCTCTACGCGCCGTCGCTGTCGTTTCTTCTTTACCCCTTTCCGTTCCTCTTCTTTATTTTAGCGGGATTTTTTTCTTCCCGAAAGTTCCATGGATCGTCGCTGAAAATACTGTGACTCGATAGACACGTCTTTCGATACGAATCATAAGCGTGGGAGTGTCAGACCGTTTGGTTCGTTCGTAAATTTGTACGATCGTTTTTGGGGGGATGCGCGTGCAGGTCGCGACGTTCGAAAATCTTAGATCGCGCGAAATCGTTGGCGTTTCGGATCTCCGAATCAGAGGGGGTGGCGCGCACGCGCGAAGCTCGGCGGTACGCCGTGCGGGGGTATCGTCGCGGGGTATGGGGGTGAGTCAGTCAAGCCGCAGCGCGCGTTCAGAAAACTACCCTTAACGCGGTCTCGCATCTTTGGCGAGCTATTTTACAATTTAACCGCGAGATTCGCCCGGCGCGCTTACCCGTCTCCGTTCCCGTTCACCGCGTCCGGAATATCCTGGAAAGTGTGACTCGCGAAGTGCAGTCGCGATTTTACTTCGAAAGTGATATGGGAATCGGTTTACCTCGAGCGTCAAGAATCTCGCGAAAAGGTGAAGGAGAACGGTGGTCCACAGAGTAGAGGATCCCTTTTTACGATCATGATACAAGCAGGAACGAACGGAAGGGGACGGGTAAAATTTGTGGGAATTTGAAGCTCGTCGAAATTCCATTTCGAAAAGTCCCAACGTAAATCCGAGAACGAGATCGACAAGTGGCCGCTCCGTTTCGAGTTTGCCTTTCGTAGCGTCGATGGAGTTCTGTTCGATCGAGTCCTGAAACGTGTGCCGTTTCCGGGATAGCTTTAGAGTGGATGAGGCAAGCGGAACGAAAGGATCCAGTAAGATGCAGAGCACCGTAGACGGCCGCGAGTCGAGCGACAAGAGAGAACGTGGATTAGAGTCGATCGGCGGAAAGATGTAACCAAAGCTAACCGGGAGCCGAGGTAGACGTTTCCGGATACAGGGTGATCGTCTGACGCGACCAACCTTGACGGAAAGCTTGCCACTCGGGCGAAGAACGGTGAAAAATATGGGATGGTCGTGGAATCATCGAAAGAAAGAGACGAGGTAATCGTTCGATGATCGTCGCGTCGACTGACGAGGAGGACATGCACAGAGATTTCGGTAAAGAGTGGTTGTGGAAAGGAGGAAGACGTTCTCGATCTTCTTTTCCGTCCGATACGACTTATTAACCGGCTCTTGTCATTGAGATCTTCGTAGAAACGAACGGACGAAACGCGAGCAGGAAGCAGAAGGCGAAGAAGAGGAGTCGGAAGAGGAGCACGGCGTCCATCATCGAGGAAACAGTGGTTCTCGAAGTGAAATCGATCTTTTTCGACGATCGAGGGAAGAGGAGGAACGCGGCTCGACCGAAAAAGGATGTGAATGACGGAGATCGAGTCGACGAACGAAAGTGTGCGGTCGTTAACGATGTTTGTGAACAACTTGTCGGTTTTATCTTTTATTCGCCGCGTTCCCAAGTAGGATATAGAACGCCGTGCCGTTGGGTAAATGGCGCGTGTCGATAGTTTCGTTCGATTCCCGCTGAATAAGCGTTTCCATTTCCCTTGTTCGCGCTTATCCGTCACCCACCAACGAAGCACCGGCAAAGAGTATTTTTTTACGCGTTGCAAAAATTTCACCGAAGTTTACGCGTTGGTTCCTGATCCTCGCTGATCCTCCCAAGGATCGGGACAATCTGCTCGAGAATTACCCCTACCCCGTCCAGGTTTTGTCTTTTTTTTTTGCCTCGGTGATCGGGGCTACAAGAAGGATCATCGTCGTCTTCGTTCGAAGACCAAGTGGAGGTGGTATGTTAAGCAGAGGGTGATTTGTATTTTCATAGGTGGAACGCTGCGACGGTGGTATTAAGTGTGCAGTGATCACGGGTGACCGAGGGAAGACGGGAAAGAAGGTGGTCAATATGACTCCTATCTTCCTCGTCCTGTTGGTGGCACTCGACCCGATTATCGCGCAGATTGGTGGTGAGTAATCGACCAGAGAAATCCAGTTTCCCTAACAGACTCTAGCGGGGACATTAACGCGATGCGAATTGTCTCGAACTGTTTAAACCGACGTTTCTTATTGAAACGGAAAAGAACTGTGCCGAGTGTTCGCGCGAGAACTCTGGACGCTGTATAGCGGCGATACAACGCGATCGCGCGGTTCGAAGCGCGTCTCGACGGACAGAGTCCTGTAAAGAATAGTCTCGTGAAAAAGAACGACTCGACCAGGTCGATCCGCGCTATCGAAACGTCGCGACGCGTGATACGTTCGATTCTTGGACGCGCGTGTGTGTACCAGAAAAACTATAAGGGAAGAAGGGGACGTGGGTGGGCGGGGGAAAAAACGTGAAACGCGAGCACCAGCGTGGCGCGCCTTTGTTCGCGGTTTAAAAGCTCGCGCGTCAAGGACCCGTCGATGGGACGAATTTTGTAAATTAACTACATAAAGATTTTGTTTCTGTCGCGTATCGATAGCATTGGGTTCGTAAATTCGAGTTTTCTATTGGAACTTATATCCTTGGTAAATTTCTCAATATGTAATTTAAATCAATGCATTACCAATTTGCTATAAAAAATGTAAAATTCGTGTATATACGCCTTTTGAATATTTTTAACCCTTTGCACTCGGACACCTTTCTTCGACTACCTACTACTAACTCAAACACACTTTCTTACGAAACAGATAGTAAATATCCAAGGAAACATATCTTTTTTTATATTCTCCGCTTATGTATTTTGTTCTATATAATCACTTTAAAACGATGATCGTTGTATTCTCTTAGAGGGTATATCCAAATTCTTTGTTGAATGCCCCTTTACAGGGTACACTTTGAGGGTGGATTTCACCCCATTCAAAACTAAGGGTCAAATATTTTTGATTATCAGTATGGCAAATTTTATCAAAATTAGCGATCGACAATTTGGTATGTTCCAAAATGTTAAAGAATGCATTTATTTAAATTATATATTAAGAACTGAGCTCAACAAGGATATGTCCTAGTACAAAACTCGAACTTATGGAACGATCTAATTTTAACGATTAACTATATCAGACATTTAATAACTACAAAACAATCATTCGTAAGAATCATATACATTAGTCATATAAAAAACAAAGTTTGCAATAACAAAGGTACACATTCGATATAAAGATAAACCTCGATTATTTGTGACCTCTTTGGGACCATTTTTTTCGGTAGTAGAAAAATAAAGGCGCGTCGTCGCTGGTGCACGCACAACCCGTCAGGGCAAGCACGACGTCGTGACGCGTTCAGTTCCAGTGCATTACGAATCGTCCGTTTCGAATTCGCTTGCCCGCCGCGTTTCAAGACGTATCGCGTTTCGCGTCGTCGAGAAAAAAAGCCGTCAGGACCTTGGCTCGTGCCTGGGACCACGTCGAACCAGAAGAGACGGTTACACAACGAGAGACATCCAACTCGATGGAGGCGGCTCTCGAACTGTTTAGACTCTAAGACTCGAATCCGACGTACAGACGAGGGAAACGCCTCGCAGGGCTTGTCCGTGGCTGCCCAAACGCGTCGAGACTCCGTCGATTCTCGCGTGCATCGCGTTTCAGCTCGAGTACAGCGATCGTAACCCTTTTCCACAGATACCGGCGATATCGGTGTTTCGATTCGCCGACGAATCGGGCGGCGGTAATCACCGTTATTACGCGGCGATCGCCATGATACTCGCTAATTCAGCCGACTGTCACGTTGACACGCGCGATTCGTACAATTAATCGCGACGGAACTCATCGGCCCAAAGTCCACGTGGCCGGAAACGAGTGACTAATTTTCGAGAGCATTAGTTCCGTTTAGGGTGGATTTGATTTTAGGCGCGGTGTACGCCAAAATTTAAACGAGTTTACTATTACATACGTGATATACAGGAAAGTATAGACATTATATTGGAATTAGTTAACAGAACATAATAAAATAATAAAATTTTTGTAAAGCGATGCGACATAGTCGAAAACCTTAAAATGTGCTGGTTACGCACGTATAATGGTAGGTTGAAAAAATTGGGTCTCGTCCGATCCTAGCATGGGTGATCGCTTAGGAAAACATCCACGTATCGTTGATTTTTATACAGGGTGTACGGCCACTCCTGAAAAATTTTAATGGGAGATTCTAGAGGCCAAAATAAGACTTGACTGAGGCTACATTAAAAAGTTATTAAGAAATTAAATTAAAAAATTTCAAATTGTTCTAAAAAAATTATGTTCAGTTGCAAGGGTCGATTACAATCATTCTTGGTCATTACACATACCCACGAAATCCTACACATTATCGAGAAAAAAATTCCTTAGCGAAAATCTAATGTGAGGCCAAAAATGCTTCCCTGAAATTTCATGCGAAACTTTAAAATCTCATAACTCCTGAACGGATTGGACGATTTTAATGTTTCGGAAGGCAAACGACGCGTATTTTAATCAAGAATATGTAGGAATTGTAAAAATATTGGGAAAGTTGCTCCTTAACCCCGTAAAGTGAGAAAAACTCCATAAAAATGGTCTAATTTTCAAACAGCCATAACTCCTACAATAGTGAATATATTTCAATGGAACTTTTTTTGACGTAGAGCTCATAGGTACCTACAAAAAAGTATTAGTCAACTTTTCGGTAGGACGTCAAACAAAATTACAAAAAATCAAAAACGAAGTTTTTAAGAAAAATCGTCGATAGGTGCCCAAATTCGGCAAAATTGAAAAGTTTCAAATCACTTTGGAAAAATTATTTTCGATTGCAAGGGTCAATTACAATTATTTTTGGTGAATGCACATACCTCCGAAATCCTGCGCATTTTTGAGAAAAAAATTCAGTACGGTCGAAACTTTAAACGTTCATAACTTCTTGATGAAGCCTGGTACAAATTGGTATTCTTGATTTTCGTCTTATTTTGGCCCTTAGAATCTCACATTAAAATGTTTCCCAGAGATGGCTGAACACCCTGTATACTGTTTATATTATTTATACGTGTCTATCGGTCTTGAAATTAAGTATCACTTGTCTGGTAATATTGATATTATAACTACTTTGCAAATGGAAGTTAACATAGTGTATTGAGCAACGTCGGTTTGCGTCCGATTATCGACGTTCGCCACGGTTGGTACTAGGATGTGTGACCTGTTGGGAAAACACCCACGTATCGTTGATTTTTATATACTGTTTATATTATTTATATTATTTACACCTGTCTGCCGATCTTGAAATTAAGTATTACCTGCCTGATAATATTGGTATTAGAAAAAACTACTTTGTAAATAGAAGTTAACATAGTGTATGAGCAACGCCGGATCGCGTCCGATTATCGATGTTAACCAATGTTCGATGACCGCTTGTAAAAACACCTCGTGTTTATATTATTTATACCTCTCTGGTAAGCAATTGCTCGTGAATATTTAACAAAAACAATAGTTTTCAATTTCTATAGAAATATTTAAACAAAAAATAGTCAACAATTGTCGATCACGGTAGACGGAGGAGAAGCATCGAAGAAATATATAAAAAACGGGTAAAAATATCTCGAAAAGGGTGGACTCTGGAATCCCATAGTTAATGCAGATCCATCCCTCGGTTCGTTTTCCGTCTGTGTCGTGAAAAGACAAGCTGCCGAGGTCGGGCAAGGAAGATTTCCTCGGAGGTTCGCTCGCTGTCGCGCGTCCTCGAAAAATCATCCTCGAGGGCAGCGGGACGAAAGCTCCGGGCAACCAGATGCTGCGTCGGCTTCCTGTCTATCCATCTATTTATCTTTCCCTCCGGTGACTCCGGGGCCGCGCGTCTCTTTCCCTCGACCGTTTCGTTTTCGATTCGCGGCGCCGTCTCAAAAAATGGAATCGAGGCACTCCTGTCGCCTACCATTCGCGCGTTCCGTGGAAACGCCCCCGTAAGTGCATCAAAATTCGCGGGTCGCCTCGGCCTCGGTTGGGTTTCGAGCAAGTTACGCGCTCTCACTGCCTTTCAGAATGCATCGCGCACAGTCTTTTCCCGTTAGCTACACGCCAGTACCCGGTTCTCTGCGTTACGCTTTTCCCTTCTAGGTAACTTTTACGCCAGAAGTACCGGGAGAGCAAGTCGAGGGAAACGTGAATTTTCTGCTGCCGTTACCTCGCGGAGGGATCGTTACGATTTCAAAAAGGTTACGCCCCGCCTCGTTGAAAAGAAAAAAATAAAAAACATGTCCGACACATTTTTCCAGGTATTACGTCGCTCGAGGGACGGTTCGAATGCTTAGACGGCGCGGGCCGTTTCCACGGCGCTTCGTCAAACTTTATCAGCGTGTATTTTATTAGACGCACCGATGGAAATAGGAAAAAACGTGGCTCCGCAAATGTTTCCCTTCCGCGTTCCGGGCATCGAAAGCTTTGCGGCAGCGAAAACATTTCAACGTTGAACCGCAAACGGGGCTACGTCGCTTCGGTTTGTATCTTCGAATCGTTCGATGATCTCTAAGAGATTATGCCACCTCAGGGCGTTGGGACGGAAAATATTTTCACGATTTTATTTGCAATTCAAACAAATTTTTTCCCCCCTGCGAACGAAACGTGGAAGAAACTTTTAGAGAATATTTTGTATGGTTACATTAAACGCGGGGAAACGAAATGGCGTTGTTGTTGTAGTCCGTAGCCTTCATTATACCGGAATCCGGGAATCAGAGTTCACCCGAGTTTAAAAATCAAAAGTTGAGAAATATTATTATTCCCTATATGAAAACTATGATGTTGTTACCAGATGAATAAGTAAAATCGTGTTTACTGTTTAAGCATTTAATAATCATAAATAAGAAATTAAGACGGGGAACTGCAGGGGATTTTATACTAAACGTGCTGTAAGTCGCATAAAGCTTAATAATTTTTAATTTTGTTTAAATATAGCACAGATCTGGTCGTATCGGAATTGCGTAGAGTAACGTGAAGTAGTATTACTTTATAAAGAAATCAGTTACGAAGCTGTGTGCGACCGTAAAAGAAGATCTGA